ATCAAAATTGAAAGGTTTTGCTGTTTAAAAAGTAAAAGAAGATACTTGAACTACCTCCACCTGACAAAGGACTTGTACCAGTCTAAAAACAGAATCATGCAACTTTTAAAAGACAACCAGACAGTGACGAATCCGCCTGCAATGCAGGAGACCCAGGTTCAGTCCCTGGGTTCGGAAGATCCCCTGGAGAAGGGAATGGCTACCTGCTCCAGTATTCTTACCTGGAGAATCCCATGGATGGAGGAGCCTGGCAGGCTCATGGGGTTGCAGAGTCAGACATCACTGAGCAACTAACATTTTCCCTTTCACATTTAAAGAGAGAAAGGATTTGAAGTCACGTAACAAATAAAGATATATGAGTTGCCAATAATCACATGAAAAGGATCCTCAAGATCATTAATCCTCAGAGAAATGCAGGTTAAAACTATAATCACATATTGCTGCCATCCACCAGAATGGCTCAACTTAAAAAGACTCACAATACCATGATCTGGCAAGGAGGTAGAGAGAGTCCTTAGAATTCTCAGGTAGTGCTGATGGGAGTGTAAAATGGAACACCCACTTTGGAAAACTTAACAGTTTCTGAAAGTCAGACATGTGCTTATCCTATGATCCAGCAATTCCAGGAAAATATACAAAGATTAGGTATAATGTTCTTAGAAGCTTTATTCCTAATATTTTCAGATAGGAAATATTAGGAATGTCTATTAAAGATGAATGCTTAAACTAATTGGAAAGTATTCATACAATGGAATATATATACTACTCTGCCATAAAAAGGAAGAAACTACTGACATATGAACCAACCCGATTAATGTCAGAAACTTGATGAGGAAAAGAAGACTTCAAAAACTTAATGAGAAAAAGAAGAGCCACATACGTATGATTCCATTTACATAAAAGTCTAGACAGAATTTAGTTGCAGGAAGCAAATCAGTGGTTGCCTAGAGTTGTGGTGGGGAGGTAAGTGGGGTATGTTTGTGACTGATAGAAAGGGACCCAAGGAAATATTTGGAATGACAGACATGTGCTTTTTGTCTCGATTGCATTGCTATTCCCATAGGTGTATAAATTTGTCAAAACCTGTAGAACTATATGATGATGTGTTTTTGGAGTATCATTTATTTCCCAAAGTTGGTTTAAAATTTCTTTTTAGCATTTTATTAACAACTTGATAATCCTTTTGTTGGTGCTAATGTCTTGTTTTTGTATATTTGATAATTAATATTTTAAAGTGGGCTTCCCTCATAGCTCAGTTGGTAAAGAATCTGCCTGCAATGCAGGACACCCAGGTTTGATTCCTGGGTCAGGAAGATCCCCTGGAGAAGGAAATGGCAACCTAGTCCAGTACTCTTTCCTGGAGAATTCCATGGACAGAGGAGCTTGGCAGGCTACACAGTTCATGGGGTCACAAGAGTAGGACACCTCTTAGGGACTAAACCACCACCACCATTTTAAAGTGTGTAATAATTTAGAAACACCAAAAGCACATATTTCATCTTGCTTTAGGAAATTGTGATATACCCCCTAAAATCTAGATATTTTAAAAGTGGTTGAAAGTTTTTCACTTAAAAGAAAAAGACACAGTACAAATGTCTATATTTCATAATATACCTTTTTTATTCTTTCAATATTAATAGGGAATTTTCTCTGTTTTGTTTCATTGTCAAACTGTTCTGTGTAGAACATAAATATTAGACTGTTAGTCTATAAAGAAGGTTATTATAAAATTAGGTGTGTATTTTGAAGCTGCTTCAGTTCAGTTCAGTTGCTCAGTTGTGTCCGACTCTTTGTGACCCCATGGACTGCAGCACACCAGGCCTCCCTGTCCATCACCAACTCCCGGAGGTTACTCAAACTCATGTCCATTGAGTCAGTGATGCCAGCCAACCAACCATCTCATCATCTGTTGTTCCCTTTCCTTCTGCCTTCAGTCTTTCTCAGCATCAGGGTCTTTCCAAATGAGTCAGTTCCTCACATCTGGTGGCCAAAATATTGGAGTTTCAGCTTCATCATCAGTCCTTCCAGTAAATTTTCAGGACTGATTTTCAAGATGGACTGGTTGGATCTCCTTGCAATCCAAGGGACTCTCAAGAGTCTTATCCAACACAACAGTTCAAAAACAGCAACTCTTCGGTGCTCAGCTTTCTTTATAGTCATGGAGCTGCTTAGTGAAAAGTGAAAGTGAAGTCGCTCAGTTGTGTCCGACCCTTGGCGACCCCTTGGACTGCAGCCTACCAGGCTCCTCTATCCATGGGATTTTCCAGGCAAGAGTACTGGAGCTGCTTATGAAGGTTTTTATCTGTGATGGTCCCTTCTGCGCCCCCTGGTGGTTTTGATTTCTTATTTGGGATAACATTGGAAATATAATCATTACTTTTGTAGATTGAATTTTACAGAAGACTTTAAAACTTTTAAACTAGTCTTTATGTTGAAAACCTACCCAGTAGCTCCTGTTGACAACAGTATAAGGCTTTAATCATATGGTAGTCTTTACAAGAATTACCTTTTTTTAAAAAAAGAGTTTTTTTTTTTTCTTAACAGTAACAATCTAGTTAATAATGAGGGGAAAAAATTATTAGGCAATACCACAGAAATAAAATTTTACAAACAAGACCTACCTAAGATGATGCTAAATTTAGATCAGAGTTTGAGGAGAAAATAGGATATGAATAGTCTCAAAGTACTCCTCCCAGTATTTTTCGATGCCAAGGGAAAGATAGTAGATTTATAGTGGAGAAATCTGACAGAAACCCCTTTGGCCACCCTTTGCAATGATGAAATGAGAAGGGCACATTATTTCTACGGTATTCTTGCCCCAAATGCATTCTAATCATTAAAAAAAAAAAATCAGCAATTCTTGCTGAAGGACATTTTACAAAATACTGGACCAAAAGTTTCAAAGTCATGAAAGACAAGATAAAAATTGAGTTGTCACAAATTGGAGGAGATGTAAGGAAAAATTACCAAGAAGTTGCAAAAAATAATAGAAGTCTCAGTTACCACACACCCAGCTTCTTTTGATGTTAACATTTCACAGACTTGAGATGCAATTATTGTTATCAAAATGGAGAAATTAATCATTGTTACAACATTGTAAGCTCTATATTTTAGTGGGAAAAGTGACTTTGAAAAGTTTTTTCTTTTCCAAGATTCTGTTCAAGATACCACATCACATTTAGTTAGTTGTTTCTTTGAAAATACTATTATTGCTCGAAGGATTTGATAGTCTTGCTTTATTTTGTTTTTAAATCATTAACAAACCAATAGGTAATAAACTATTTATAAAGTGGCTGTTAGAATTTTTTGAAGGAATAGTTTTTTGTTCTTTATTACTATTATATAGATTTTGGGAATTGGCTAAAATTTGAGGAAAGTTTGTTTTTCTACCGTTCTGCTTATTTCTTTTCCTTTACATTCTGAGAAACCTCAAAACCACATAACAGTGGAATAGCAGGTGTGTGTGTGTGTGTGTGTGTGTGTGTGTGTGTGTGTGTGTGTATGTGTATGTATGTGTGTGTGCGCGCGTATGTGTATAGTAATAACAGTGCTTGAAGGCCTGCATCTCTTTGCTACTGTTGGTAACTCATATTCTTTTTTCTAAATGAGAAAAAAAAATACATATACATATATATATATATATATATATATATATATAAAATTGTTGGTGTTTCTTTATCTGAGATGATGAATAGATAAGCAACCTTCTATGTTTTATATATTCTTTAGTGTTATTATGTCCAATTAGAAATACTTATTTAAACTTAGATAGCATCATGAGATCTCTGAAAGCAGCTTCTTAATTATTTTATGTGTTAACACTAATAAGATTCTTGAAATCACTTCTTTAAATAAGTAACCATTATAGATTGCACATTTATTCCTGAGTATATTTAAGGGTGCGTTAATCTGGGTAAGGTCTCAATAATTTAATTTGGTTGTTTTCTGTGTTAACATCCCATAGTAATAGCTGTATTTTAGAAACTCAGACTAAAAGATCTGTTTTTAATATCTTAATTTTTAGAGGCATACATATACGTATGTATGATTATAAGATTATCTATTACAATACTTTGTATCGTATAGTTTAAATTGAATATGTAGGAACTTTCAACTGCTAGAAAAGATAGTCCCTCCCAGAGGTATCCTTACAAAAAGTGGAAAAATAGCATGAGTCTCAACTTGGCAAAACATGAAAAACAGTATCTCTGAGTCACAAGATGAGTCAAAAGGGTGAGGTTTGTTTGTTTTTCCTTGTTCATCTGTTTTAAAGGGAGTGTGATTCCAAGTAGCAGAAAAAAACCTTCGATGAAAGATGGTGCCAAAAGTTGGAATTCTTTATATTTAGAAGTACAGATCTGAAACATTCAGTGGTGTTGCCAGGATGGATTTGATCTGTGCCTAATTTTTCAGAGATTGGTAATAACTGTAAATGAAAAGTAACCTTTAAAAATATTTAACTTTTATTAAATTTTTTTCTTAAAATTTAATTAAAAATTTAAAAGTGCTGGGTTTTATTTGTTCATACTTGCGAAGAATGATCTTTAGATGAATATTCAAGCTGGCAGCATTGGAGGGAGACTTTGAATATTGAACTGTATTCAAACCTTGTTCAGATTTTGAACCATGAACTGTTAGAAATAATTAAAATTTTAAAAGAGAAATGAAAATCAGAGTGCCTGGTGTACATAGCAGAGATTGATTTAGTCTGCCTGGTATGAACCACCTGACTTCCATGATCAGCTTAGCATTGTCAATCCTGTAATATCTTGGTACTCAGCATACATACAGTTGGTTGTATGTTATGGCGGGTACAGACAAGCAAAGAGGTAACGAAAAAAATTTCATGATATATTTTCTTTGTTATAAAAGTTAGTCCATAGTATGTTCAACTCTAAATTAAATTGAAAATTAAACTATTGGATAACTGCTGAATTGTTTCTTGTAGTTATCATACAATCATTTGGTAAATCATGCCGCCTCTTTTTGTTTGCTTTTAGTTGATGCTGATGAAATTAAAAGGCTAGGAAAGAGATTTAAGAAGCTTGATTTGGACAATTCTGGTTCTTTGAGTGTGGAAGAGTTCATGTCTCTACCTGAGTTACAACAGAATCCCTTAGTACAGCGAGTAATAGATATATTCGACACAGATGGGAATGGAGAAGTAGACTTTAAAGGTAAGAAAGTAGTTTTAGTTAAACTGCAAGTTAGATAATCTATGAATAGTCTTATATTTCTATGTACAGAAATGTCTGAAAAGTTGACTTTTTTCTTGAATGTCCTTGAGTACTGATTTTCTTATAATAATAGATTGTTAAAACTCAGAAGTATGTGATATATGAACCTTAATCAACTAATAAGACCTTGTACTTTTTGGGACATAAATGATCAAAGTGCCCTTTTAGGTAATCTAAAAAATGGGATTTAGTATTTATTTCTTTTGTTGTTAGAAAATTTTAGAGAAACTTAAAATACTAGAAGCCACATTTTTTTAAAACTTTTTTTTTAAAGAATGAAACTTTAACAATAAGTCAGCAATAAAAAATAAGTTGAAGTCAGAAGGATAGGAGTATTATCATAGACGGGATTAATTTAGTTAATCTAGATTTTACAGAGACAGTAGTGCTTTTGCTGATGTCAGCCATTTGATTCTACACTTTAAATAAACCTTTCATTTCATCAGGAAATCAACAGTTTCTGTTATTTTCTTTCTTTTTTTTCTTTTTTTTTTTTAAGTTTTTGTTATTTTCATTTGAACAATTGTCCAAGTGAAGGGCTCTTAACTGGTTGGGATTTAGTGTTCAGCAGCAGTGAAGAAAAATGACCATTTGTTATGAAACTTCAGTTTATGTAAATGATTCTGAATTTTGGAACCAGAAACCTCCCAATTTTTTCTGCCAAACAATGTAAATATTTTTTTAAAGCCCTCTTGTATAATCATATTCTAAGAATATAGAGTTAAATAGTTTAAGGAATATGTTTTTTGAGTGTTATGCTCTGTAGCAACTAATAAATAATAATAATAAATAATAAATCAGCTTCTTCAAGTTGATTTGATTTTAGAGAGTTCCAGGTTAAAATTATATATAGAACCTTGTTTGTTGAAGTTTCAAATTTGGCTTTTTCAGTTGTAAATGCCACTAGTAATATTTTCTTTTGGAACATGAAAATATTCTGTTGTGAGCATGTAGGGTTTGTGTCCATGCGCGTGTGTGTTCTTTGTAAAAAATGGAAACTTCTGATTTGTGAATGTTTTTTACTCTTGCTCAGAATTCATTGAGGGGGTCTCTCAGTTCAGCGTCAAAGGAGATAAGGAACAGAAGTTGAGGTGTAAGTATTTTTCTTCACTGAGCTCGTTCTTCCTCTTAGACCACGGCCCCATGCTGCATTATAACCTTCTTTTAAAATATTCTAAAAGGTATCTTTTATTCTAGATCCTTAGTAGACATAACAGAAATTTTACATTCTGGAGAAGATTCTTTTTGGACTTTTGCAATTTGTATTTTTAATGATGTGTCATTGTTGCTTATACGTTGCAGGTGTACAGTACACAAAATTGATTCACAATGTTTAGGATTATATTCCAGTTGTGGTTAAATAATATAAAATACTGGCATGAAAGTGAGAAGAAATGCTTTGATGTGATTAGCCTAACTTTGTTTATACTTGTATTCAGAATTATTTAGCCAGAAGTTTACTCTTTTGGTTTATGTAGGCTGGCTTCTCTTTCAGGGAACATCTGGTATCTTTTTAAAATATTCAGCTCTTAACTGGAGAGACATTATGTTCAATAACAATTCTTTGAGGCACAGGCTATATGCTAACATCCTTTGCAAGTGAATTCTTGATATAAATGAGAATAATATTTATAATAATAAGAGTTGCTGTCTTTGTATATTATCTCAGTACTGCAAAGCAGCAGTCCCCAACCTTTTCAGCACCAGGAAGCGGTTTTGTAAGACAGTTCTCCCATGGACTGGGGTAGGGAGTGGGTCTGGGATGGTTCAACTGCATCACATTTATTGTGCACTTTATTTCTATTATTACATCAGCTCCACCTCAGATCATCAGGCATTAGATCCTGGAGGTTTAGGGACCCCTGCTGTAAAGAACCTGGGAGGTTAGAACTATTATTAGCCTCAATTTTATATGTGCAGAAACTGAAGCTTAGGAAAGGGTAAATGACTTAAACTCTAGGCTGCAGTAACTGGCCCAGGCAGTCTTTAACTCCATAGCCCATATACTTGTAACCACCTAGTTTCACCTAAAAACACCATCTCTATGTGGGAAGGAGCTGTCCTCATAGTAGAGTTCTAAATGCTGGGCAACTTACTCTCTTCTCTCTCTTTGAAAGTGTTCGTGATTACCATGTAACTGCCATTGATTTTCCTTACTCTTTTTTTTAGTTGCTTTCCGTATCTATGACATGGATAAAGATGGCTATATTTCCAATGGGGAACTCTTCCAGGTGCTAAAGATGATGGTGGGGAACAATCTGAAAGATACACAGTTACAGCAAATCGTAGACAAAACCATAATAAATGCAGATAAGGATGGGGATGGAAGAATATCCTTTGAAGAATTCTGTGCTGTAAGTACAAAAAAGCTGGTTCTTCATTAGTTACGTTTCATAAAAACATGTTTAATATCACTTAGTAGAGAATTCCTTATAGTTATATTTTGCCCTAGAAATTTCTGTGTTTGATTTTGCCCGATAGCCCCAGATTCAAAGTTTTGAAATGTTCTTTGTTGTAACTGTTACTAATTATTCTCAAGAATTAATATTCTCAGTTATTGTCTGATAAAATGCCACAGGAATGGTACTAGTCACTTTTACTTATTATTGGTAGCCTCCCAAGTGAACAGCTAGGTTATTGGAAAATACTTCGTAGGAAGTAAGTTCATGAATTTCAGCTAGGAATTGAGAGGCTTGGTCACAAGGATGAAAGAAATGGAGTCCCCATCTGTCATAAACTCAGCAGTGAGGCGATGTAGAAAGGTGATTTGTTTTCCCCTCTCCTTTTTTTCTAAGCTACTGATGGGTGGTTTTTGTGATCTGGGGCAGGGGCTCCACAGAGGCATAGCCTACAGTTGTGAGAAGCCCTGGAGGACTTGCTCTCGGTGGGAAGTGGGGCCTTTGCTCAGCTTCCTGTTTATTGCTTCTCTTCTGTGGCTGATGCCCCTAAAACAGAGATAGTAACTTTCTGATGCATCATAAGCAGTTTTAACGGTAAACTGAAGATGCTGGACAATCCAAAGGAAATGCAAAGAAAATAAAACATTTTGAGAATTTTCAGTCTTTACTGGATGCTTCTGTGGAAGGTTTTCCTTCTCTTCATTTTTTACTTAGAGGATACCAGGGAAAACGGATTAATTTGTCATGTGTTACATAAGGACTTAAGTAGCTACTTTGGCTTTTAAGTAGAAGTTTACATTATACCTCAAGGATCTTTTTTCATCTCAAGGGAATGAGATCTTTGCATTTTGTTTCAAAGAAGTAGGGTGGCGCTCTAGTTTAAAGAACAGGCTGGTTCTTCTTGGAAGAGAGTTAGATAGGATGAACTCTTGAGCTTTGGAATCAGTGCCGTGTGGTGCTGTTGCACGTGCGTCCTGTTCCTCCGCCGTGTCTACCCCACTGTTGCTAGCATGTGTTGAAGGACTCCCGTGGGCGGGCATCGGGTTGTGCGTGACATGAGACCAGCCTGGTAGTGGCATCATAGGTAGCAGCCAGTTTTCAAAAGTAGGAAAAAAAAAAATTCCAAAACTGGAGGGAACAAAACAAAAATGAGGAACTTGGCTGGAGTGATACGAAGGGATGTGTATAAGTGAAGATTACTTGCATTTAGTAAATATAAGCTGTAACTTAAAATTACATGTAAATCACTTTACTAGTGGAAAGAAATACATCCCTAGGTAGAGAAATGATGGTCTGTACGTTGAAGGCGTTAAGCTAAGCTTTGAGTTTATTTTTCAGCCTTTGTGATAAATTGCCTTTACTTGTATTTTTGGAGGGCATAGTTCAGGAATGAATGAAAATGTTTGTATATTAAGCCAACTTTTGGGAACATTTATCAGGCTCATAACTTGAGCTTCCTTGGGTTCTCTTTATTCTGTTTTCTTAAGCTGTAACAGAGAGAGAAAGAGAGTTACCTTAAAAGATCACATACTACATATCTGTTTTAACATTTTCAGAATGCTTTACCATACACAAATCTTAGAAATGATCAGTGACAAGATTAACGTTGATGGATTGAATGCATGTATTTAGTTTTGTTTCCTTTGAAAATTTCACTGAAATTAAATGGGTTAAAAAGAAAAGGTTATAAACCCACAAGGACCAGGTGAATAGCAGAGAGGATAGTAACTCAGTTTGGTAATTTATAAAGTTGAGTGGTTAGCAGACAGGAATGAACATTCTAAGCTATCAACTAGGAAAGCAGAGAAGCAGCTTGGTTTATAATGTGGAACCCCTAAAAGGCTCAGAAAGTGGAGACATGACTGGAAGTGGGGGTGAAGGTGGGGTTAACAGGAGAATTGCTTAAGTCTGTGTAAGAAGCAAATGGAACACAAGGTCTCCTTCCTGACTCTGTTCAACAATCTCTCCTACACTGTAGTGGGAGATTGGCAAGAGTGAAATAGGGCTGTGTGTGTGTTGGGGAAATTAAGTGAAGAACAGCATGTTTGCATTTTGACACCTCCAGCCTTTTTCTCTTGACTTGATTCCCTGGCAGCTACACTTGTACCCTCTAGGCAAGAGGTGGGAAAAGCCCTGTTTGGGAAAGCTGACTTCTAGAAATGGTGTTTACCCAGTTGTTCAAAGCGTAGCGCACAGTCAGCAGCCCTGCCCCGTGCACAGAGGCTCTGGGGCGGACTTTCCGTAGGAGGAGAGAGCCCAGGATCACCAGGTCTGATACGGATTACAGAGATGAAATCATACCTGGAAAAGAAGCATGCTGAAGCAGGCCTATGCAAGGCCAATAAACACTTTAAAAGTAGAACAGAAATCTCATTATTACCCTTAGGGATATAATATATTAGATCTTTGAAACAAAAATTGGACAATGGATAAAAGAGCTCTAGGAAATTTAAATGTTGGGATTCATTCTAGGAGGTCTAACATCCTTCTGTGTTAGGATCTCCAAATGTTAGGTCCCAGAAAGAAATTGGAGGGAAGGAAATCATCAAAAATGCATCAGAAAATTATCTCAGAATCAAAAGTTTCCTTGACTGAAAGGGCTTACCAAGTACCCAGCATAGTATATAAAATAATCTGGGCCTTGGTACACCATCATGAAATTTTAAAACAAAGAGATGGTTTACAAGCTTCCAAAGAGCTCAGGTAGAGGAACAGGAGAAGGACTTCATACGAAGAGTCAAGAATCGGCGATGGTGACAGCTGTCTCATTTAGCGACTTGGAAGATAGAGGACAAAACAAGAAGTCTCAGTAAACTCAAACTGGATGGTAGAATCAGACATTTTCAGGTATGCAAGTCCTCCTCCCTTTTTTGGAAACTACTAGAAGATGTACTCCCACTATGAAAAGGTTATAAATCAAAAAAAGAAGTCAGTGTGTGGGATCCAGGAAGCTCAGACGGTCAGGCGGAAGAGAAAGTCTCTAGGAGGATCCATGGATGCCAAGCTTGGATGGGAGTAAGTCCAAAAGCTCTGGGAGTGATTTGAAAATAATAAAATTGATAGCTTGATATAATACATCTGAGTGCCTTTAGAGCAAAGTTTAGTGTTGAATTAAAGATAAATGCATAGAACACCCAGTGAAGAAAAAGATCAGTTATTAACTGTAGCAAAACAGATCTGCAGGGAAGCAAAAGTAATCATAGTACACAGTTCTCTTCTGCTGTAAGTAGTATTTTATATAGGCATAAATAAAATGCTGAATTTCTATCTAATAAACAAAAACAAACATGCAGCTCTTTGATGCATGGGAGAGGTGGGAGGTATGTGGGGTAGGAGATGATGTAGGATAGGAGATGATGTAGAAAGGGAAGAGGTGTGTGTGTGTCTGGAAGTGAAAGCTGCATCTCCTGCGATGGGAAGTTGATGGATAATGCCTAAAACTTTAAATCCAAGAAGAAGCAACGTAGGAATGTTACTTGGAGTCTTGTAGGCAAATATTGAACATCAGCTGAAAATTCTAAATGATTGCCGCTAAAGTAAAAAGAAATTTGAAGACAGGATAGCAAACGGCTGTTTTCATGACAGGAGTTGTAGAACTAGCTGGTTGTTTAAGCTTTATTTTTCAAATAAAAATTAAAAAGTTCAAAAATAGTAGCAGATGCAACTATGTACAACATGGATGAGTCTCACAAACATAATGTTGAGTGAAACAAGACAGACTTGAAAAATTTCATTTGTAAAGTGTGTAAAAACAGATCAACCTGATCCATGGTGTTGTCGTAGTGACTAGTTACGTGTAGGTGGCGGCTTGGGAGGAGGGAGATAGGGTGGGACGGGGGTCGCAGAAGAGCCTTGGTGATGCCCTGGGCGCTAGTTACTTGGGTCATCACTCTGAAAATTCACCAAGCTGTTACCCTTTATGGTTTGCCTATTTTATGTAGGTTTTGCTTAATAAAAGTTACCCTCACATAATGCTACAGGTGATCTCTCTTCGACATTGCTGTGTCAGTATTCACGGAGGTGTCTGTAACAACTCTACGTGTATTTGACTCCACAGAAGAGCAGTGTGCAGAAAATTTTATTCATTACTTTTTGATATATTCTAGAAAAGAGTGACAGTGAAGCCTGTATTTGGTTTTTGAGTTTTTATGGTAACACCTAGTTAACATTTGATATTAAACTACTGAATCCATGTCAAAATGCAGAGGAAAGAGTGGGCCAAATCCTACCGGTAGCCTATTTTTTATGTTTTTGAGCTAAAAAAAGTTTTTTACGCTTGAAAGTGCTGTTTAAAAAAAAAAATGGAGGAAGAAAATTTAAGAGAAACTATACATGGCCTACAAAGCTTAAAATATTTCCTGCCTAATCCTTCATGGAAAAATTGCCATTTCTTGTGTTAGAGCGCAAGAAAATGCTTGTTATCCTGGGAGAAAGAAGCCATGAAAATTCTAACAAAAGGCGATGTGAGTTTTAAAAAAAGAACAGCAGCTTCTGGAAATGGCTAAAGTAATGTGCTTTTTTAAACCTCAGTTTTCGTAGAGTGGTTAGACTGGTACAACAGAGTCCCTCACACCTGGTCAAGTGTGGTCTGTTCTGTCTGTTGCAGGTTGTAGGCGGCCTAGATATCCACAAAAAGATGGTGGTAGACGTGTGACTCTTGTGTAAAGAGTACCACCCAACACTTTTGCTTTCTTCTCCATCTCTGAAGATCTGCTCAAGACGTCCAGCAATGCTCTTTGTGTATTTAAATGGAAGCATTTTTCTCTGTGAAGCCACATTTTCCAACATGAGCCTCATGAAGCCCAACTAAGTGTTATTGAACTCTAATTCTCTCAGTAACTCAGTGTAGCACTTTAAAGCTGAAGGACAGCAGCATGGAAAGAGCATATCAATGTGGCGAAGAAAGGGAAGGGGTTGGCTTTTTAATTTATTTTTCTTCATCTTTTATAACAAGAAAGTATCTATATATACATATGTAAATATTTATATATAGATATATGTAGCTTTCTATATGTGTAGTAGGTTGGCTTTAATTTAATATACTTGATTCAGAAACAAAAATGATAAAGAGTACAAAAGTGCCAAGCAGAACATTCAACATCCTTACTTTTATTTCACACAGTTTTATATATAGATCAAAGATTGTACAGTTTGAGCCGGGTGTTAGGCCAGCTGTTTTCCTTTGCCTGCTCTTTCTCCTTTGAGAGATTGACAAAGCATTTGTTAACATCTTCTTATTTACCTTGATTACATTTTTGTAACAAAGGAGTGTGTAACTTAATTTATACCTATGATATATTTCCAGGGACTGGTCTCATTGCTGAGCAGCTTTGATGACGTCTCTGCTTGAGGAGAAAGTCGAGTCCAGCGCTGCTGCCATGAGCTCGTTCTTGTGTTCATGCAGTCACTGCACAGAGCTTACGCCTCATTCTGTTACTTCATAACTAGGAGCCTTTGCGTTCATTAGGTGTCCCCGAGTCAGTGTCAGTTCGTCGTGATTTTATTCGTAAAGGACAGAAGCTGTGTGAGGCAATCCTGATTTGATCTCAGACATGACTTAATGAAGAGTTCCGGAAATAATCATGTAATAGCTCAGGATATCTGTTTATGTTTCATTACATGGGTGGTAAATTCTCATTAAACTTACTTTTAAACCATAAATTTTCCCTTCTCTGTTTCAGAAGACTTGCAGCTAATCTAAAAACTGGTGATGTTCAATGTGCACGTGTGTATCTATACACCCACATATACTTATATATGACTTACCTGGGAGAAACCTTATTAAACTGTTTGTCACAGAAGAGCAAAATTATATCCAAATTTATACCTCTTTAATTTCTTTACCACAAGGCATAGAGAGTGCATGATGGTGTTCTTCCTTTGCCCAAAGACGTCTTGGGTAACTTAATACTTTGTGTGATTTAAAAGTAGTGTACCACGCTCCGCCAGTTGATGTTATTATCATCCCTTCCCTTTTCTGCAAAGGTACTATTGGCTGGAAGAAAACATTCTGGTTAGCTTTGTAGGACTGTAGTCTTTCCCTGTAATAGATTTTGTAGGAAATTGGTTTTATACTCTGAGTGGGAAGGGCAGGTTGAATCAAGGTTGAAAGCATCTTAATTTGGGCACAGCCGCCTGCCACCGCTGTTCCTTCAGCTGAGTGCTGCACGCCATGGGCTCTGTCTGTAAGAGAAATCCCGGTGCTTGGTGTCCTTGCATGACATGGAGTTTTGCATGTAGATCAATTTAAAATGTACCTCTTGTTTACATAATTTGCATAATTTTAAAACATAATGTTGCCAAACTTTGGAAATGTTAACGTTCAAGCTGAAAATCTCCACATGTAACTCTCTTCCCCTGGATCAGTACGTGGCTTATCACCCCAGCCAGTGGCTTGGTCTGTTCAGTGTCAACTGCCATGTGCTCTGCTTCAAGAGGGGAACTCGTCTTTTGTGAATTTTTTGTACATAAGTATTTGTTACAGATATTTTAGCAAATGCTTTCTATTTCTCTTGCTTGTGCATATCTTGGCTGGCGTTACAGAAAAATAGTGCAAACATTATTTCCTTACTGGGGAATGAGGGTTTTTTCTTTCTTTCTTTTTTTTTTTTTTAGTGTGTGTGGGTGGGTGGGTGGGTGGGGGGTGGTTTATGTTGAATGTTTAGTTTTTCTTCTGCATGAAACATCATGTTGTGGGATCTTTAGGAAACTTCATACTGTATGAATAAGAAAATAAAATATTTGAACCTTGATTGAGTGTATTTGCAGTGGTCTTTAGGCTTCCCCAGCCATTGTGTGAGTGTGTGCTCGTGCTCAGTTGCATTGGACTCTTTTGCGACCACATGGACTGTTTGCCCACCGGACTCCTCTGTCCATGGAATTTTCCAGGCAGGAATACTGGAGTGGGTTGCCATTTCATCCTCCAGGGGGATCTTCCTGACCCAGGGATCAAACCTGCTTCTCTTGTGTCTCCCGCATTGGCAAGTGGATTCTTTACCGCCAGCACCGTTGGATAGTCTTTGTTCATTCTTCTAGGTCTTTTAAAAAGCTTGGTAGGTTGATGTTTGATCTTTGACTCTAAGCCATAAGTCAGTCTGCTTTGTCACTGGGTGAAAACACAGGTGAGTATGACCTGTAGGACGCAGTCTGTCACCCTTCCTCTACTTGCAGCTTCCCTGCTCCTCTGGAGGCCTTGACACCCTCTTTCCTGACAAGGAATGCTTCTAAGGGCTTCAGCCACGTTGTGATTCAACAGGAACTCTCCTGGCCACCATTTAAACACACTAATAACACCTGATTCTTCTTTTACCCCAGTCTTCTTCCATAACATTTAACCCCTTCTTACCTGATTCATTCTGTATTTGTCTTCGCTGGTTATTAAATTAACATGAATGAAAACTCCCTAAGGGTAGGGATTTCTGTCCCTTGTTCACTGATAGACTTGGTTGTCTAGATTCTGCCTAGCTCTTAGTGTTTACTCAATAAATACTTAATGAAGTAGGAAACACCTTGTTTCTACAGGTTGTGATACTAAGTTCTATTCAGTACTTTTGTTACTCTTCATAAGCATTAGTATTGGGACTTTTATTCATTCAACAACTTGGTAGGGTTCCTATGCCATGCCTGCACTATAATGAGCACTTGAGAGTCTTGCGACAGGTAAATGATGTACCTGGCCCAGATGAAATATAGGCTCTTGGTGTTTTATACCCAGAACACTTACATTGTCAGGCATGCACTAGTTATGAGATACTAAACACTGGGTTCCCTGACTTCATGGATTAGTTAAGCTTAAATCAATAGGCAACATCTAAGCTGTAGGTCTCCCTTTCTTTTCTCAGTTCTAATGGTCTTAAGAGTAGAAGAGAGGACCTAAAGTGAAACAGCAATCCACAGAATGGGAAAAATACTTGCAAATCACCTATCAGCTAAGAGGCTTTTAGCTGAACTATGTGAAGAGCTACACTCTGAAACAAACAACCTGATTAAAAGATGGACAGCTTACTTGGATACTTCTCCAGAGGAGGTAACACAAATAGTCAGTGCCACGAAAAGATGTGTAATACCACTAGTCATTATGGAAATGCAAGTAAAAACAAGATACTACTTCACTAGAATTGCCATTAGCAAAATAAAGGTGTTGGTAAGGATATGGAGGAGCTGGAATGCTTGTGCATTGCTAGTGTGGATATCATGGTGAAGTCACTGTGGAAAATGGTATAATGGTTCAAAAAATCAATTAACCGTGTGTGTTAGTTGCTCAGTCATGGCTGACCTTGCGATCCCATGGACTGTAGCTCGCCAGGTTCCTCTGTCCAGGCAAGAATCTTGGGAGTGGTTTGCCATTCCCTTCTCTAGGGGGTCTTCTCAACCCAGGGATTGAACCTGGTATGACCCAGCAATACCACTTCTAGATACTTACCCAAGAAGTACTAGGGACTAGCAGAGGTATTTGTGCATCTACATTCATAGCAGTATTATTCACAATAGCCAAAACTTGAAAGCAACCAAAACATCAATGATGAATGGATAAGGAAAATGTGGGATATTATTCAGTTATAAAGGGAAGGAAATTTTGACACATGCTATGTAACATGGATGAATTTTGAAGACATGATAAGATATAGAGCCAGTTCCAAAAGAACAAATACTGTATTTTATTTATGCAAGTTCCTGGAGTCATCAAATTCATGAAGACAGAAGGTACAATGGTGGTTGCCGAGGACTGGGAGGAGGTGAGGATAGGGAGTTGGGTGTTGAATGGGTAGTGTCAGATGGCGAAGATAAATGTTCTGGAAATGAAAGGTGGTTGATGGTTGGAGGAGAAGGAACTTAAATGTCACTGAGCTGTACAAATGGTTAAATGGTGAATCATGTATAATTTACCACAGTTTAAAAGAGTAGACAAGATGGTAGAAAAAGAATCTTGGTTTTTCTGGATGCTGTCCAGGACTTAGAAAGAAATGGTGTTCAAGCTCATCATGTGTGTCTTAAAACAATTCTTAATCTTCAAAGATTTCCGTATACTCAAAAATTTCTCATTCTCATTACATTAGCTCACATTTTAAGCTAAGGTCCATTGCCACTTCAAGCTTTAGCTAACCCTGTTGGTTTAGTCACTTAAGGTGTGTCTTGTGAACCCATGAACTGTTTCCCTTTCCATGGGATTGCCCAGGCGAGAATGCTAGAATGGTTGGTATTTCCTTCTCCGGGGTTGCTTCCTCACCCAAGGATCAAACGCACATCTCCTGCATTGCAAGCAGATTCTATCCTGGTAAGCCACCAGGGAATCCCTTGAGCATCATAAATCTGACAGCTAAGCATATCAAAATAGTGAATCCTTGTTCTCCCAAACCTCCTCAAGATTACTGGTGTCCCTGAATAATACAGGATTCTTTCACCAAATTAAGTCATTGACATTTGCAGAATACAAGCATTTTGCAAGTTATAGGATGGTTATGTTCATCATCACTCAATACTATCTAACGTTAAGCATGCTGTCCCATGGCTCTGGAATCAGGAAAGTTACATCTCTTCCCCAGGGCTCAATGAACATAGCTTTCTTCTGTAAATAGGATGAGAACTTGTGTCCAGATCTTCTGGAACAATAGGAGGAAACACCAAGGCCTCTTCCCTTATCAGCCACTGAGTAAGAAAATACTTCTAGCCAATGCAGCAGTTAATATGTTAATAAACTGCTACATGATATCAGAAATTGTACTACATACTGAAAATTGAAAGATCAGAGGCTTTAGGGTAGGAGGCAGACACTAAAATAATAGCAGGATAGCATGATAGATACCACAGAAATATGGATCAGCATGGCTAAGGTTTTCAGTATTAGTCTGCAGGCCTTAGAGAATTTCAAGAAATGGTTTGAACTACCAGATCAACCACCACTGTCATGTAGTCAAATTGATTACATTTCTTCACTGTTCCATTCTAAGAATGGGTAAGGTGGTGATGGTGGTACAGAGGTAAAGAATCCGCCTGCCAATGCAGGAGACATGGATTGGGAAGAGGCCTCGGCAGAAAGTGAAGGACTAAGAGCCTCTTGATGAAACTGAAAGAGTGAAAAAGTTGGCTTAAAGCTCAACATTCAGAAAACTAATATGGCATCCGGTCCCATCACTTCATGGCAAATAGATGGAGAAACAGTGGCTGACTTTATTTTTGGGGGTACCAAAATCACTGTAGATGGTGATTGCAGCCATGAAATTAAGACGCTTACTCCTTGGAAGGAAAGTTACGACCAACCTAAACAGCATATTAAAAAGCAGAGACATTACTTTGTTAACAAAGGTCCACCTAGTCAAGGCTACGGTTTTTCCACTGGTCATGTATGGATGTGAGAGTTGGACTGTGAAGAAAGCTGAGCGCCAAAGAATTGATGCTTTTGAACTGTGGTGTTGGAGAAGACTCTTGAGAGTCCCTTGACTGTAAGGAGATCCAAGCAGTCCGTCCTAAAGGAAATCAGCCCTGAATATCCATTGGAAGGACTGATGTTGAAGCTGAAACTCCAATACTTTGGCCACCGGATGTGAAGAGCTGACTCATTTAAGACCCTGATGTTGGGAAAGATTGAGGGCAGAAGGGGATGACAGAGGATGAGATGGTTGGATGGCATCACTGACTCAATGGACATGGGTTTGGGTAGACTCACGGCAGTTGGTGATGGACAGGGAGGCCTGGTGTGCTGTGGTTCATGGTCGTCGCCAAGAGTCGGACATGACTGAGCGACTGAACTGAACTGAGCTTGGAGTAGGAAATAGCAACCTGCTCCAGTATTCTTGCCTGGAAAATTCCAGGAACAGGAGTCTGACGGGCTATGGTCCATGGGGTCACAGAGTCCAACACAACTTTGAGCACACATGCCTCTAACATTTTGTTTCTCTTTAAAGCCCCAAGCAGTACTAATTCTCCATTGGGCAGGGATGCTTGATCAGGGAAGGTTCAACAGTATCCCAGATTTTAGCAACTGCCAGAGAAACACATTTGCTCTCTTACTACTGATAATTCTAACTATGTAAGAAACCTTCAAAAGGAAATGCAAGTAATACCAAAAGATAACTTCACTTTAGCATAGAGAACCTGTTTTCCCAATCAAAATTATGCTTTTTAAAAAAAATTCAACATGTTTATGGTTACCGAGCAATGGTTCATTTCAGTCCAAGCACTCTGAAAACTGGACCCATACCTCAGAAAAGAACACCCTCAGTGGTCACAGTTTTGTATCTGATTTCCTAGACAAGGCATGGGGAGTAGGCAGGTACCTGCTGGAGTCTGTGCAGACTAGAATAAATAAGTGCCAAATTCCAGCTTTTGAAAGAGATAGGAGGAAAATGGGATCATACACATACTCTGTCCATGCTGCTGTGCTGCCAAAGGGTAAAAAAAAAATATTGCTGGGACATTTCCAGTCATCTCCCACTGAATTCCCACCATAATACTGAGTACATCTAATCCCAATGCAGTATACAGGCTAGTTCGGGACAGTGGCATATATAACAGAACTCTCAATAGCAATACTTTTTCTAGTTCTTACATGTACTTTCTAATTAAAGTTTAAAGTTTTGGTCAAGGGTTGTGGAGATAATATACAAGAGAATACTATCATCACAGTCACAATTTAATGAAGTGAGTTGCTTTCATTTAAAAAAATGCATAACATGAATCAAAGAACACATAGGTAGATGCTTGTTAAACCTTTATTACATTTGCAGAATATAGTTTCTTAGGGGTAAAAATTCTTTTATTACATTTCACCTTACTACTTAGAAGAAACATACCCCATACTGGTAAGGTCTGACTGCTTTTATTGAACACTTATTTTTACAAACTGCAAAAATGGGTACAAAGATTAGTCTTTCTTATTTCACAGAGTATATTCAAACTGCTGTTTATGACCTGGGTATAAAATATTCACACACCACTCACTATTAAGGGTCACAACATTATCACAGGGTCACAATTATCTCAGATTTTCTGAGATAATTCTTTTAATTACAACTGACAGGGAAGAAATGTTTACAAATTTAGAAAACATTATAAATTTATAAATAAACTCAGAAAATAAAGAACTGTTGCTTAAAATAAGAGGTCCCCCACCAAATAAGAGGATTATAAACTAGGCAAACCTGCTACATGTGATTTAAAATGGAAACAATGATAAATTATACTTAATGTACTAGTGTAATAATGGTACCCATGACTGAAAAGTTTTTCATATGGTGTCGGGTGACCACGTGTAGAAGTAAAGTCTTTTTCTCTATAGAGGTCAAAGATTAAAAGTCCTTGATGCGAAATTAGAATCGGTCTGCCGCTCTGCTAGCCACAGCTCGAATATTGCCATAAACCTTTGATGGAGGATTTCCTGCAGGAGAAAATAAAAACGCTTGTCTTCACAAATATACGTATAGATGCTACATGGACAACAACCTGCAACATTGCACAGGACATTTTCCCACTGGATCCTCCTTAAATAACAGAAGAGCCATAAAGGAAACCACATAAATACTCTCCCAAAACTTTTTAAATCCTAAGTGCCAAAGATACCAGGTTGTCAAAGTATTTCGAAAAGCAGCTGGTCAGTCAGACCTGGGCAGGCGTACTAAGTCACTTCATTTGTGTCTGCCTCTGTGACTCCATGGACTCTAGCCCACCAGGCTCCTCTGTCCGTGGGATTCTCCAGGCTAGAATACTGGAGTGGGCTGCCATGCCCTCCTTCAGGGGACCTTCCAAACCCAGGGACTAAACCCGCATCGCTACCATCTCCTGCATTGGGAGGTGGGTTCTTTACCAACAGCTCCACCTGCAAAGCCCCAGGTCTGGACACCGGAGCGAATTCCATGCGTGTCCCCAGCAAGCTCTCCAGCCTGCCTCTCTGACCACAAGTGACAGTACTTCTTGGTCTGAAGATGGGACCAAGTGGGTAATTAAGACGACTGATGCTAACCAGCAGCTCCCTTTTGGCTGAACCTACTGCCAAAACACTGCCCCCTGCTACTCTGCAAGGGTTCCCAGTGCGTCTCCTCAGGGGGACACAGCCATGATGTAAGCGACGTGACCCAATAAGCCCTTTCTCTTGGGCTCGCAGATGGAATCCAGCAAAAATAGTTCAGCTTCCTCTCTGGGCCAACACTTACCAACCCCCAAGAGTTTCTGCCTGCTACCTTTATCAACTGGACCCTAAAGTGAGATGCAATGTGATCTGAGCTTCTAAATTCTCTATTCCTTCAGAGAAAACAGCAGAGGAAGAGACTGTGGTTACCCAGAATGAGGTTGCAAATGGCAGTTCTTGCCATCTTGATGTTTTGAAAAGAACCAAGGATGTGGACCTTCCTGCAAGAGATAAAGTGAGACAGGTTAGCCACAAAAAGCACTTCCTTAACTAAGTCCCATGATCCAGAAACTCTAGGAAGATGACAGATGGATTCCTAAATAAAGGTCGTGGTGATGGCTGCCCAACACTAAATATACTACCATCCACTCTGAAAGGAAGGATTTTATGGTAAGTGAATTAAAACCTAAGTTCTTCAAGATTCTTGGTGAATAATGGCTTCCCTCCACTCAGTACTATGCATACGCTAGGGCTTTATATCCATGTTCTCATCATTTAATCCTCACACAAGCTTTATTAGAAGTTATTCCCACATTACAGATGAGAAAAGTGTGTGAGAAATCACAACACCTGTCCAAGATGACACCCTGGCAGAACTGAGACCAGATGCAGAGACTATACTGCGTTAAAATATATTTGAATTTCAATTGCAAGTATTTCTAAAACTGATCTAAATTTCTTCATCACTGAGGATTATCCAGACCCCTTTTACTGTGCATTCCTTGCTGAATGGCTCCAATTAGACTGATATTATGGCATTTTACTTTTTTGAGCTCATCTTCCAAAATATTAGTAAATTTAGGAAACTGATGCCGAAATCTACAGGGAAGAACCCTCTCCCAAAGCAGAACCCTCTTCATACCACAGGCTCAGGCATTTCTGAAATTGGAGTAAAATGGAGGCTAAAAACAAGAGAACAAGTTAAAGTCAGTTCAAGATACTCCCCAGGTTTTCTTCCCCACTCTAGGCAACAGGCAACCACCCAACTACCCTTTCTTTTACTCCAGTAAAATGAAGGTGGCAAGCTGCTCATAGGAGAAGGCGAAAGACTTGGGGTCTCGACCAGGGGCACCGGGCACAGCAGAAGTAGGAAGACCGTGAGCAGAGCGGAGGCAATGCCATGTGAACGTCAGCACAGTGAACGACAACTGGCTTCCGTAACTGGGCTCCAGACCTTTGTCTCAGAGGGACTGGAGAATACTTCTCAGGGGAACTGGCCTCCATGGGAAAGACTAAGGATACCGACATCAGGGCTTCCCCAAAGGAACAGCCTGGCAATCACCCAAGTGAAGCCAACAGTCCACCAGTCTCCCCCACCCCCACTCCCAAGCACCCCGAGCCCAGGGTTTCTAGTCTGTTCTTTATGGTCCCACTTTTACACAGGACGCTCTCACTACAAGGAATCAGAACCCGAGGAAAGCATCTAATACAAAAGAGTAGGCGGCATGACCAGCAGGCGAAGAAAGCGGTACAGAAACTTCTGCAGGGAGAAAAGAAAAACAAAACTAGTGAGATGAGAAAAGCAGTTTTCACTCATGAATCAAGGACAGGGTATTAAGAAAATACTGAATACAAAGATTAGAAGATGAAGTTACTAGAAGCAGCTCTGAATGAAAACGATTCACAGCAGAGTGGAAGACATCTTCAAAACCAGGTCTCACCGGATGTCCTTCCTAGGCTAAGCCAGCTCCAGGACCATCTGTGCCACCAAAACAAAGCAGGACAAAGAATCCCAGAACCGAGGGGCTCAGACACCAGAGGCGCCAAGGGGCAACGGTGAACGAGCCAGGATGGCAGCTGTGTGCCGGGCAGAAGGGAACAGTGCTCTGGGCACAGAAACCTCCAGAAGAGACTTCTAGAATGTCTGATATGTCTGAGTCCACCAAGAGGAGATACAAGTATAGCTTTCTAGTCACTGCGACACTGAGGAAGCATAGAGACACATTAAGAATTATTTCCTCATGTGACAAGAGAGGTGCAAAGGACAGATGAACACAGTATACTGTCTGGTCAGCTGTTAACACCCCAGTACCAACTTCATCCTCAGACAGTACTGAGCATGAACTGAACAAAAGCCACACCGTGCAGGGGGAGGCAAGCATTGGCCTGCTAAAAGGCTGACAGGGTGGAGACAAGGTGGGGGTGAAAAAGGTCCCGTCTCCTCTTTGACAGGAGATCAACAGTGAATCTGAAAAAAAAAATGAAGCTGGTATATAGAGATATTTGGAAATACAGAGAAAAATAACATTTAAAATTTAGCTAAAAGAGCTCTATCTGAAGACTTGAAATTTCCTTCCTCAGAGGAGGTGGAAATGGAAGTAGACAGTGGCAAGTTTAAGTATGTGCATATATATCTTTGATAAAAATAAAATTCTATAAAAGTCAGGCATGAAAGATGAGGAAACAGAGAAGCAAAAACACATAAAGGGTGAGTAGTTTAGTTACTAAAACAGCCAAAGCTTCAGGGCAGTAGTTGGAATGTATGTATGTAGGTCTCCAGACATAGGCAAGATTCTTTCCCATTTGATATACCAAATGTATCTAGAACAAATGGATGTTAGTTTTATATTGTGTTTACATTCTACTCTGCCAGGTTTTCAGCAACTCATGAAAAAGAACATTTACGGGTGCTAATAGTCCATCTTATGGCTATTATCATAATTAACATGAGTTGCTGAACACGTGGATTTACAATTAGCCTACCTACAGTAAAAACTGCAGGACAATACATCTCTTTGCTGGTAATTGACACTGGAAAAAAACCTACTGCTAACCACCAACAAACTTGAGAAACTTGAAACCACATGCTATCTAAAAGAAGTCATGCACTAAAGATTACATACTGTGTATTTTTACCCATGTGCATTTCAAGAAAAGGCAAAACCCTAGTAACAGAAAGGAGAAGAGTGACTGCCTGGGAATCGGGAGGGGCTGCAAAGATGCACAGGGAACTTTTGGGGTGACACAGCTGAGTGTGGAGGGATCACAGGACTATATAGAGTATTTGCCAGAATCTCACTGAATTACATACCTAAAACAGGTGACTTTAACTGAATGAAAATCATACTGTAATACAGCTGTTTAAAAAATGAATTTCACAAGGAAATTTTAAGCGAAGCCTTAGAAATAATACTTGGTGGTGGTTTAGTCTCTAAGTTGTGTCCAACTCTTGCGACTCCATGGACTAGCCTGCCAGGCTCCTCTGTCCATGGGATTCTCCAGGCAAGAATACTGGAGTGGGTTGCCATTTCCTCCTCCAAGGAATCTTCCCAGCCCAGGAAGCAAAGCGAGGTCTCCTGCATTGCAGGCAAATTCTTTACCGACTAAGTTTTGAGGGAAGCTTAAACATTTATAAATTATAAACTTAATATAATGTGCTAAAAATAATTAGAATTACAGCAAATCAGTTACATTTTAAAACTTCTAAATTAAAAAACTATTAGGACTGTATATGATATTTTAAAGTATGATACACATTTCAAAATTATTGAAATTTCTAGTTCAAGAGAGCTTTTCCCATGACTCTGGAGCCCCATCTCCAGGCTCAAATCATGAAAGGTCAACGCTGTAACACACTTACCTTCAAGTAAACAGGGCCCCAGTGCAGTGTTAACAGTTTTCTATTTAAGTATAAAAAAGTCTAAAATTTAGATTTGGAAATAACAGTAAGCCCCTCAGCTCAGAGCAAAGATGAGATGAGTTTAAATAAAATTATTTCTGGGTTTAATAGCAGGCAGATCCCTCCTCCTCACAGTCAAACTGCTTCGTCTCTCAACTTCTCGGCACTGTATAATCTCTGCACCATCTGCCAGTAACCCCAAGCTGGTAACGGAGCGGCTGCACCCACAGGCAGAGAAGGGTAATCCCAGCTTGACTTCCTGCACCCTTATTTTAAGCCCATATCATCTTATTGATGTTCATATATAACTGCTCTGTAGTTTTCCCAACAATGTGCAACATTCATCTTCCCTTTATGAAAGGCCTTTATATATTCATGTATGCACATGCGTGTATGTACATTTATATTTTTTTACTGAAGGATAACTGCCTTACAGAATTTTGTTGTTTTCTGTCAAACCTCAACAGCAATCAGCCATAGGTATACATATATCCCCTCCCATTTGAACCTCCCTCCCATCTCACACCTCCAGGTTGATACAGAGCCCCTGTTAAAGTCTCCTGAGCCATACAGCAAATTCCCATTGGCTATCTCTTTTACATATGGTAATGTAAGTTTCCATGTTACTTTTTCCATACATCTCACTCTCTCCTCCCCTCTCCCCATGTCCATAAGCCTGTTCTCTTTTTTTAAAGCAAAGACTTATGATGGCATTGAACACGCATACTTCTTGCTCTCCTCTACTGATTTAATAGGCTCCCGAGATTCTATTTAAATATTCCCGCCATGTAATTTAACAGTGATTCTCAACATTTCCTTCATTGCAAATTGAGAAAAAAGCTATAACATCTAAGATTTTTCTCAACTAAATCTGCTCTCAGAGTAGGTAACTGTTCAGTCAAAAGCATATCCTCACAAGGATTTAGGGGTTACATCATGCATAAATACAATCTTAATCACTTCTTGAAACCAGCAAAAGACCAAATGTAAATTATGACAATAGTTTTCTCAAGATCACATACTTACACGTCAGCTAAAACTATCCGCGTCCGGGTCACGTTCTCGATGGTGAATTTGGTTTTTCCTCCTTTGCCAGCAATTCTGCCTATTGCCCTGGACAGGTGGTCTCCCTTTAAAGGTTTAACTAAATGAGAAAAGCAAGACCTCAGGAAGGAAGCCATTCCAGCATTACCCACTTCCATAGGAAGTTTAATCATTAACCAAATTTCCCTCTTAAAAGACACAAAACATGCATTTTTTAAAAAGCTGCTAAGAATATGGCTCAATTGATGCCACTGGAAAGCTGAGAGTCACGCAGAATAAAAAGTCAGCAGTACAAAAGTACCATCCCGGAGTTCATACAAAAAGACCACCAGACACTCACCATCTGTAATTTCAAAGGACTCCAGAAAGAGGTCATCCAGTCTTATAAGGGCAAGTGCGTCCTACAATACAGAAATACATACTGTGAAGTGCTTCCAACTCATTACCTGTGTGAGTGAGTGTGTGTTAAGCTAACTCATAAATTGTAAAACTAGAACACTCAAATTAAAAAAGAAAAAAATGCCCAAATCTATCAAAAAAAACATTCATGTGGAGTATTTTCTGAGCCCCCATTTTGGATATCATGAAATTACTCACCTCCACCTGAAACCCAAGAATGAAGGCTTTCACAAAATCAGCTGCTTTTGTCAGGGCGCTAACATCTTTGGTTTCTTTACAAGTCTGTTTAAAAAAAAAATGGTGGGGTAAGAGGCACAAATTATAGCTGGATATAAAAAGAGCAACATTCTAGCAAACTACTAGGACTGACCTTTCCCATTATTGTAATTTCCTTCATTCACCATCACCCTTCCCAATATATTCTCTGTGACCCAGTTTTTGGTGACATAGTACCGTGTTTAGTTTTCAAAACAAAACTTTGCTAGCTCCAGGGCTGGGCAGTTCCCCCCAAACACGGTCCAAAGACCGACTGCACTCCATGGCTGATCTGACTCTGGAGCTACTGGCAAGATTCCTCCAATCACTCCCATTCTGAAGGACCTCCATCCTCAGTTCATTTCCATCCAAGCTGCTCCTCTTCTTCAGTGCCGTCTCCCTGGGAGTCCAGATCTAACCTCCTGATTTCAACCACCCACCATTCCTGTGCTGATGTTTCCTTCCCAAAGCAACAACTCTAGTACTAACTACCAAGAATGGTTTAAGCAATGATCCTGCCCTCAAAGATTTTATTTGATAATCATAGAAATAGGCGCTCTTCATAAAATGCCCACCCCTGGAAGAGACAAGCACTGCACAGATGCTTGACACAATATAGCTCTGATCTTCATGTCAACCTAAATTTAAGCAAGATAAATACTTTTACATTAGAGGAAACTCAAGTACCAAAATGAAAAAGTAAAATCTGAACATGGATCTGATTCCAAAACCATGAGTTCTACTCTCCCACACAGACTCACAATTGAGTTCAGGTGACTGCGTATTTGACAACTTTGAAACTATGCAGGGTTGTGTAACGGCACATTTTAAAACTACAGATCCAAAGGAAAAAAAATAATAAAACTACAGATCCCAGTCCCAATTCCATATGTGACCTTAGGCAAGTCTCACGAATGCTCTAAGTCTTAAGTTTTCTCATCTGTAAAATAAATCGGAACAGAAGAGCCTGAGAGGTCCCTACTAGCACTGATGACTTTGCCCAAGACACTCCTTGGCCAGTTTCTTCACACCTATTAAATGGGGTATGTTATCTACCTCACAGCGCTGTTCTCAAGACCAAAATGATGTAGTGCCTGGCAAAGCACCACTATGTGTCTGGCACAAAGCAGTATCGACAAATGTCAGAGGAGTCCAAACTGATGGTGCTGCAATACATAATCAAGAGATTCTGACAACTTCTTTATTAAGCCTTTTATCAATCAGCAAAACATAAGTTTAAGCCCTGAAGACTAGACTGAAAACTGGACTGACGGGAAAGGAGAAAGAATTTGAGCTAGACTCTAAAAGATGATGAAATTGAAGTCGGAAGGAAAAGGAAGTAGGGAGGAGGTCTTCACAGAGCAAATCCATCCATAAGGAGGAACAAGAAAAATGTTCAAAAGCAATGGTAAGAGGACTTGGGAATGAGACTCCTATTTCAAAGGCAAATTCAAATACTTTAATCTTTCAGAGATACTGGAGATATCAAGATGTCAATAAAAGCAGTGTGGTCTGGGAAAATTAATCTGGCTCTGGCAAAGAGAATGGAGAAGCAAAATGAGATTTAAAGAGACTAAAGAAAGCAAACTTGTAAGCAAACAAGTAGTTCTGGCAGAAAACCATAAAAACCTAAATGAAACTGACAGTGAGAACAAAGAGAAATTCTGTCAAGTTCTGTATTTTAAACTCTGCTAACTAGTTAGGACAGTGCCTCGCTGCTTTGCTTCACTATTCTAATCCCTCAACAGAGATAAGTCTGTAACAGCCCTGATAATGAATCCTTAAAATGGAAGATATAATTAATTTTGGTCACTAATTCTTACGAAAAATTGGAACCCATAGGAAAAAACCCCAAAGTCTACTAATTTTAATTGTCCACCTCCTAGACTGACATCATGGAATAAACAAATATTTTTACATAATTTACACTTACTCTCAAAACTTGTTTTTTTCCTAAAAAGTAACACTAAAATATAGTGTACTGCAGCGAGTACTTCGGCTGCTCATTTACATACTTCTGTTTACGATAACCTCTTTATTAACTCTTTAATCAATCAACACAGAACACTGAAAAATGTGCTGAAACGCAGCTGGTATTTCAGTATAATTTCAGGTCAAACTGGAAGAAACTCATTCAACAAGGTAAGTCCCATCAAGAATTCCTAGAAAGTCTGTTCTTTCTTTCTAGGACAGAAAAACCTCAGCATATTTTAAAGAGGTTAATATTCTCCTTACTCTGATTTCAACATTCCTCGATTTCAAGTTAAAGCGTATCTGAAGTCCCAAATGCTCCACAATAGGAGTAAATATCTTCAGCCAGTTCTCTTTTAATGGCGTGTATCTGTTGGCTGGGACTGGAATTTTCCTGGTTTCTTCTTTCCCACTCTATGACAAAAGAAAACACAACTCAGCAGTTGTCTAAAGGAATGAGGGTAAAGTTGTAAAACGACAAGTGATCCTCAAAAAGTCTCCTTTAATTGGACAGATTAAACACCAGGAGTCGCCCCTCTGAGCTTCACTCCAGAAGCGTCAACATCACCCGGAGGCCACCGGCCCGACCCGTCTCTGGTCCCAGCCCCGTTCCTGTTCCTCGGTCCCCGCCAGTACCAGGAATCCGTCCCCGGAGAGGGGCGGGAAGACGGGCCTCTTTGCGGGTCGGGCCTCCTCGGTGTCCATGGAGGTCGCGTCGCCTCCCTCCTCCAGCGTGGACGGCTGCTCTGCCTGCCGTTTCTTCGCCCGCCGGCCACCTTTGCGGGTGACCTGGCTGAAGCCGTCCTCGGCCAACGGGCTCTGTGCCTCCATCACGGTTTCCATTCTCCAGAACCTCCAGCCCCAACCTCTGCTTCCAGCTCCAACACGTGCGGGGCTGTACCGCGCAGGCGCGCCTCGCAGGCCCCAACCTCCGCCAACCAGCCCCAGGGCTCCGCCCTCTTTCCTAAGACGTCCCTTGCGGGGGACCTAAACCGGGAGTTTCTGCATGTTTGTTGGGGAGGGGAAGGCTGTCCTAAAATATGCCTGATTCATAGGTTCTTCCTCTGCCCCCACCTCTCGCAGTCAGTATGCTTTATAACCCATAATCTGTATCTGTACGAAAGGCACTAGGTAAATCCATAAACAAGTTTGTGTTGTTGGGGAAGGAAACTCTTGTGTGCCTGCACTAGAGCATCCGGCATTATCTGAGAAACCTAAAACTACTTGTTAGGGTTCTAGGGGCGCCTACGGCAAGCGGGACGGACAAACTATCCTTACTGTTTGGACTCTGGTTTCCAGGTTAGTTTCTCAGGGTTTGTCGGCCGTGTCCCGCTTGGCGGAGGCGAAATCTCTCGGCTGGACCATGTCGGCCTTCGAGAAGCCTCAGATCATCTCCCATATCCAGAAGGGTCTCAATTACACGGTGTTTGACTGTAAGTGGATGCCCTGCAGTGCCAAATTTGTGACCATGGGCAACTTCGCACGGGGCACCGGCGTCATTCAGCTGTACGAGATCCAGCAAGGGGACCTAAAGCTGCTGCGGGAGGTGGGTGCCGGGTCGAGACCTCCCAGTTCCAAGATCTGGGACTGCTGCTGGAGGGGAGTGCGGATCTTGGGGGCGGGAGTTCTGCGTTTCTTTTTGCCAAAGCCTTTGTCCAGAGTCCCCCCAAAGCGCTGCTGAAGCTGCGCGGGAGTAGCGAAGCTGACCACAGATTGAGGAATGCTTCGGACGTCAACGCTTTGGTTCGAGACCTGAATTCTCATCGGGCTAATTCATTCGTGCCTTGCTGGTCCCTTCCTCCAGTCGCCCCCATCCCCCTCCCAGTCCAGTGCGAGGTCCCTGGAGGTGACGTTATGACTTCACATTTAAATTCGAGGCGTTTCTGGGCAGTGCGCAGCTGTTTGTGTAGTCTTTTAATAGGTACAAGATAGTAAAATACTTGGTCATACAAGCAGAGCCAAAGCAGGCACTAGGATGCCTGCTATGTAATTGGAGGAGGCAATCCAAAACAGTTATTCTTTCAACAAGTGTCAATTGATTGCCTGGTATTCTCCAGCTAGTAAATGACAATGTCTTTGATTATTATGGAGTGTTTTTTTCTAGGGGTTAGAGAATCAACTAAATAATCAAACCAACAATACATAAAATACAAACTGAGATGAATTCTCTAATGTAAAGGCACATAGTTCTGTGAGAGTAAAAACCAGAAAACGAGATTTGCATTGAGTAAAAGCTAACTAGGTCAAATTAGGAGTTGAGATTTCCAAGAGGAAACAGCTCAGCAATGAGGGAGAGAAATTATCTCCTTTTGAAACAAAACAGCAGAGAGGAGGCCTTGTAAATGCTGTAGATCATTTAAAAGATTTATGCCTGTTTTTGTAAGAAAAATGGGACATCAATGAAGGGCTTTAAGCAGGGTGTGGCAAGGTTAGGTTTTCAAGTTTTGTAAAGGATACACTAATGGAAGAATTGGAGAATAACAATATTAACTAACCTTTTTATATCTGTTTACCAGTTTTTAAATGCATTTATTTGGGTTGCCTAGGGAAAAAAAAAAGATCAATTATACTCAGATGTTAGCATTGTCATAGATTACAGGGAAGTTTGTAACTCCAGGGACCAAAAACTATGGAGAGAATCTGCTTGGAGGAGTTAGGGCCTCAACTGATAGGCAAAGGATGCATACACTTTCCTAGGAAAGCTTAGATTAGAAAGTATGTAAGGCCTCATCCCATTTTAAATTTCTATGAATGCCACTTTTCTTGTTCAGATTGTCTTTGCTAGCCAGGCACTCTGCTCCTAAACATGGCTGCTGCTTTCCTACCTTTCCTTATGTTTTTCATCACTTAGCCCCAGTCACCTGTTGCTATTCTAAGGTCCAGTTCAGATTATTTGACTATTGACATCTCACTCCTGATCCCTACATAAAGTAACTTTTCTTTAATGCTTTCCTATGGTACTTATTATCTGTGCTAGGAATATATCCTTCTGTCCCATGTATCTCTAATTAGATTGTAAACTCCCAGAGAGTAAGGACAGTTCTTTAGTGTGGTATAAAAGGAGCAGCCCCTCAATAAATGATGTGTTAAAAGAATGAGTGAATTTATGTCTGTAAAAGGATATAACTTGGAACATTTAAATATTGATTTATTAATCATTAATTGATTGAGGCCAGAAGTTTGAACACATAGGAAACATTGAAATTGAAGAAAGAAAATGGTGAACTGTCAGGAATAAATACTAGTGACATTTTTTTGGTAAGGCTTTATGACTTGTGTACATTTCATGAATACACTTGTTCCGTGAAGACAAATAGTGTTTTTTAATTCTTCTAGAGTTCTAGAAGATTCTAGCAGTATTTTTTTGAATAATTTTGCTTTTTAACTTAAGTAATGTATGTTCATGATAGAATATACCAAAAATATAGATAGGGAAAAGAAGTAAATTGATGTCACCCACCTCAACACTAGGAGTATCCACTTTGTATATTTTCACCTGTATCCTTTGACTCTTTTCTTTTTCTACCATAAATTTTCCATTGAGAACCTATCATTTCAAGGTACTATAATAAAGAAGGATCAAAGATATTTGAAAGATGAGTCCTTCCTCCTAAACAGCCTACTGCCTAAAGTGAGGGTAATACAAATGGACAGATTTGAGAGCTTACATTGTGTTTGGCTGTGATAATGACGTGGAAAAGAACATAGGTTAAGAGCAGTCCCAGTGATTCCCAGCTCTTACTGTGCGCCAGGAACATCTGAATGTGTATTGTTACTGTTGTTTTGTGTGTACTTGTGTGTGTGTGTTTTAAAATATTCATGCCTTGGTTCCACCCCTGGAAACTGATGCACTGGGACTCTTTCTTGCCTCTAGACTAGTTTGAGTCCCAGCATCAGTATTTTTTAAACTTCCACCAGATGATTATAATGAGTAGTATTGAGGGTTGACTATCTTCATTGTTTAGTCGATCAGTTGTATCTTTTGCAACTCCATGAACTGCAGCCTGCCAGGCTCCTTCTGTCCATGGGGTTTCCCAGGCAAGAATACTGGAGTGGAATGCCATTTCCTCCTCCAGGGGGTCCTCCTCACCCAGGGATCGAACCCGAGTCTCCTGCATTGGCATGTGGGTTCTTTACTACTGAGCCACTTAAGTACCTTTGGGGCTTCCCAAATGCATTTTCCTTTATTTTCCCTCTTTTTCCCTCTTCTAGAGCTAAGTTAGTTTCTAGCTATCATTGTGCTAGTTGAATTATTGGTTAAAAAATTAGGAAACATAAAATATTAAGAAATTTGATTTTATCCCTAGAGAACTACCTCAAGCCTTGTGCTCCAGAGTCCATGGGTGCAGGATAAAAAGGAAGGAAGAAAATGGGTCTTTGTTGGTGCCTCCTTATTACTAATCAGATAGATAGGGAATGAAGGCAGGGTCTTCGTATACAATTGAGTAGTTTGTTAAACTGCACACAGGTTTCTGGCCAAGGGTTCAAGGGAAGGCTGAAATCCACCTCTCTCGTTTTTCCCCTCTTGTGTGAGACTTCCATCAGCCTGTAGAGGGCGCCTTCCACCCCCCGCCCCCCAACCCTCCCTACTTGGCCCAACGTAGTAGGGGTGGCCCTGGAAAGTGCTACAGTCGGGGATGTTTACACTTTAAAAATTAGTGATAATCTAATAAAGTTCTGCTTTCTTAGCCCTTGTGCCACTGAATTCACTGCTTGTTAACATTTGGTTGACTAAACCTTTTAATGTTAATTAACTAGTGCCAGGATGTGGAGGAGGAAATACTGACAGGCTGTACTAGACCCACCCACAGATAGAACAAAAATAGCTCTGCTGGGAATTATCGATCATGGGCTTCCTTAATCACGTTAACTTATTATCATCTTTTCTTTTCCAAAGGTAAAACCTTTAGCAGGGACAAGGAGGGGTCCCTTTTATGAACTGTTAAAAAGAAAAATTAACTTTACTCCAATGTCCTTTCTTAATTTAGCTGATGTTATCATTTCCATGAACGTCTAAGGAAAGAGCAAACATTTCTGCTTTTTTAAGTCCACTTGCCAACCTAGCTCAGCCTTTCTGAGCAAAGCGCAGCCCTCCCTGCTGTGTAGATAACAAGATGTTTATACATTTGAGTTTATTTTTCAATATGTTTCTGTATTTTGAGTTTAATTTGATTCTTGATCGTTAATTTGATTCTTTAAACATCATTTGCAACCGACCACTAGTTAAATCTTTGATATAAGAATATATGGCTATCCTTTGATAAAAGGATACAAGGATAAAAAAATAACAGGAAGCATAAATATCATGTTTTTACATTTTATAAAGACATAAAGTGAAGGTAAAAACCAAAAGGCACAAATCTGAAAGTAGGTTTAAGTCAGGCCTTACTTATCTCCCCAATCTAGTTCAGGATTGGAGCATTTCTTTGGGACTTCTAAGGGCTCCAGTTTACAGAATGGGGGCTACATAGGAAATGTTTATTTAACTGATTTACATATAGTCCTGGAGACAGCCTATTGTAGTAGAAAGAGCTTGGAATATACTTGACTGTAGGAACCTTGGGTGAGTTTCTTCATCTTTTGAACCTGCTTGTCATCTGGAAAGGGGTGTCCCAAACACTTAGTTTGCAGTGGCATGTGTTAGAAACAGAAGGGATGGGCTAGTACAGAAGGACATCTAGAACAGTTATCTGATACATTGGTATTCCATATATGGATGCTGTTTTTATTATTACATATAAAGTGACACCGAAAACTATGGTCTATCAGATGAAAATATGATGGGAGAAAAGGGAACATGACCTCCAGCGGTGGTTTCCCTCTCTCCAGCACTGGGACTGAGAAGTTAAGCCATGTTCATTTATTACTTTCATTTAACAAATGTTGAACACCAATTAGGTGTTGAACAAGTTGCTGAGGGCCCCGTTCCTGTGGTATTCATTCTAGGAAGGGAGGAAATAGATAATTGAGTGAATAAAAGAATTTTGTTGATAAGTGAAATAAGATTAAACAGGGCAAATGATTGGGATTTGGGGGTTTCACTTAAGATTGGAGGGGTGGGGAGGATCTCTTAGAGGCATTGACATTTAAGCTGAAATCGGAGTTGGTAGAAGACACGATGATGTGGGGGAAGACCAGTCCCGGCAGTGGGAACAGCAAATGCAAATACCCTGAGGCAGCTTGACTGGTGAGTCTGAAGAACAGAAATGCAGCGGCAGGTGTGGCTGGAGTGTGAAAGGAGAGAAGCCAGAAATGAGGTCGGAGAGACCAGCAAGTTCAGCCTTCAAAGGGCTTTGTACATTTATATACCACAAGCCTTGGTGCCACTCCTGTGGGCCTATGCCTCTAAGTGTAGATGCATTTTTATCTCATTCCATTCATTATTTGCAATAAACCCCTCTTTTAGAATCCCTGCAATGACACATGTTAAAATTATTTAGTATAGGCCCCACCATGTACTAATATTAGAGTAGTTCTCAGGTTGTTTTCTACTAAGGAATTCTCAGATGTGTTCAGGTGTCAGTACATCTGGACATTGTAGTGTGG